AAATTAAAAATAGTCGGCGGAGATATAATATATGTATAATCTATATATAATAAAAATATATATAACCGTGTATAATCTATGTATACCAATTAGAAAATGTAAAAAGTGAATCCGATTGGCTATTTATGTAATTAATCCCTAATTTCCTTTTTGTATTAGGCTTAATCATGATTAGTTGATAAGAACTTGACCAAGAGTCAGTGTAGGCCTCAGTTTGAATGGCCTTATAGTGTCAAGTATCAGGGCCCAATTCGTTATTAATCCAAGTTGCCGAATCCCCCGCTGAAAATAGGGAGAAATTAAAAAATAGCCATATTTACAGGTGGTCATTCAAAAATAGCCACGGTTTCAGAAGTAATCGAAATTTAGCCACTTTTCATGTAAAGATAATTCTGAACGAAAACACTGTTCAAAATCCAAAAAATACTCCAGCATATTATAATGGAGTTCCAGCATGAGTATACTGGAACTCCAGCATAATATACTGGAAGTTCACACACAGGTGCTCCAATCTCCAGTATATTACGCTGGAACTTTTCGGGTGTTGGAGTTCCAGCATAATATGCTGGAAGTTCATACACAGGTGCACCGATCTCCGATATATTATGCTGGACCGATCTTTATTGCAACAAAATAGTGGTTATTTTTCAATGACTTTGCAAACGCTGGCTATTTTTGAATGACCGGTCCGAAAACTAGCTAGCCCGTGCTATTTTTACGTGAAAATACTGATAAAACTAAAGACACTAGAGAAAAAGAAAAAAAGGAAGAAGAAAAGAAGATACATACCCAACTTGTTGAATACTTTTCACATGCAAGGGTAAATTTCTCCAACTCATTTTTCCGAGGGTCAATTTGACAAAAAATTAAATTTTAAAATAACAACCACAATAATACCCAATATAATTCTACAAGTGGGGTCTGGGAAAAGTAATGTGTACGCAGACCTTACCCCTATTTGGGAAAGTAGAGAGATTGTTTTCGAAATCTTAAATCTTAAAATCTTAAAATGTTAACTCAAATTTCTCTTAACGCGAAACATATCAAGCACTATGAGTAGGGGTGTACATGGACCGGGTTGGTTCGGTTTCTATCAAAACCAAACCAAACCAATTATATCGGTTTGGATTGGTTCGGTTTTGTCGGGTTTTTCGGGTTTTCGGGTTTTTTTGTTACATGAATATTATTTCAATCTTACGTTATTAAAATTATAGATAAAGCTTTGATAAGTGAATGTATGTTTAGTAAATATGGAAAAAATTGACAAACATATGATCTATTAAAATATTCTAATGGGAGAAATTTTTTAGTAACTCATGATAGTTATTTTCTTAGTCGTCTAAGAATAATTTTTTGTTAATTTACGCTTTCAAGGTTAATACATGAGAGGATCCAAAATATTTCTACATTTTCTAAAGAAATATCACTACAATGTCTTAAAAATATAAATAAAATTTATATATTTATATGTCGGTTTGATTCGAGTTTTTTTACTCAATACCAAACCAAGTCAAACCAAACCTAGTCGGGTTTTTTAATCGGTTTGGTTTGGTTTTTCGGTTTGGTGCGGTTTTCCGGTTCGGTTTGAACACCCCTAGTTCCAGCATAAATACACTAGAACTCCAGCATAATATACTGGAGTTCCAGCAAGTATAATGGTCCAGTATAATATACTGGAGTTTGGAGCACTAGTGCTCCAGTCTCCAGTATATTATACTGGAGCCAGCAAAGTATACCGGTCCAGCATAATATGCTGGAGTTCATACACAAGTGCACCGAACTCCAGTATATTATGTTGGACCGGTCTCTATTACAGCAAAACAGTGGCTATTTTTCATTGACTTGATAAACACTGGCTATTTTTGATTGATCAGTCCGAAAACTGGCTATACCCTAAAATTTTGGCCCCAACTTTGGCCTTAAAAAGAGTATATAAAGAATTTTGGCACTACGGATACAAAAAGATATTTTTGTTTGTTAGTTCACTCATATAACAATTATAATAATTTTCATATGCATTAACGACGGAGTTCTCCGTGGGAAATATTCCTGCGGAACACTACCCACGGAGATCCGTAAATAATAAGGCATATAAGATAAAATCACATTTCACACGGAGTCCGTGCCTAATTTTTTCGTTAAAATGTTGACTATAATTTAACAACATATTTTACTGAATTGACCAAGACGTACATATTTTTTAGGAGAATTAAGAAAACAGCAGATGTAGTTTGTTAACTGATCCCTACACATGATTCATGAGCTTCATTATTTTATATACCGGTACTTCCATAGTACGGTAGACAGTTTTATTTATATTTCTTCCTGTTGTGGGGAGGGGTTGGTGGTGGCAAGGTCGGATTCACAATGTTAGTGGTTCAAGCGTTTTAAGTACTTTCAAATTATATGAGATACTTCTTTTTTAGTTTGTTCTAAAATAAATGACATATTTTTAAATTTAGAAATAATTTAACTTTAAACTCTTCATTTTACCCATTTACCCTTAATGAAAAGCTTTTAAAATCACATAAATATCATGGTCCTACAAAGCTTTTACCCAAGTTTTTAAGACCACAAGTTTCAAAAGTCTTCTTTTTTTTTCTTAAACTCCGTGCCGAGTCAAACTACCTCATCTAAATTGAAACGAAGGGAGTAGCTATTAAGCACTAAGTACTTAAAAGTACTTTTTAAGCGCGGGAGCTGAATTTGTAATTAACCAATTACGTGTCTGGATAAAAAAACATGGAGCTGAAAATAAGCAGTAGTTACGTGTTTGGATATTTTGAATCTTCAATTTTGAGCCTATAAGTTGAGTTGTTTCTTCTTCTTAAAAAAATGAACATCCAAATGAAATATTCATGTTAAATTACCTTAGTTCCTTATTCTCACCGCACTCATTCAAATAAAGTATTCGTGCAAGTATTAAAACTATTATCAAGGTTATACAACAAAAATATAAATAAGACTGATAAGAATTAACAATAGTAAAATCATGTCCAAATAGAAAGTATTCTCAGAGTTACTTAGCATTAGTATTGAATATATGAGCTAATCCAATTGGTATGGTGTTGGACATATTAGTACCGGCATATGGATAATGAACTAATGTCTAATGGAATATAAGGTATAAAAATTTTAGATTTCAGAATATCCAAAAATCTGAAGTACCAAATCTAACATCCAATCTGAAATCCAAAAATTTTAAAAATCAAAACCGAAACTCAATTCGTAATCCAAACCAAAAATGCAAGAAATTCGGATTTCTATTTGTAATACGGGTTTGCCCAAATTATGCCCACCACTACTCAGGTGAATACAGTAATTTTTGTTCAAATTATATATATATATGTTAAAAAGTTTACTAAATATTTATAAGTATTTAACTATAAATTTTGTTATTATTATATATATTAACTCGAAATCGTTATAGGAATCATAAGCTTTAAATTCTGAATCGGAGTATGGAGGTGGATTGGAAGTAGGGTACTAATAGAGAAAATTAATTATGGTCAAAAGGAGCCTTCACGTCAGCACTAATCTGGATTTAGAGATATTACCCACTCCTCACCTAATGCATGTGCCTTCCAGATAGTTCATTCGTTAACAATCAATTATAGAATCATTGGTGACCAAGCAATTTGGTTTTCTGTGCCTAAAACAACCCTCTAATTTTGGCACTAAACTAAGTTTAATTGTCTAATTATTATCCTGTCACGTTCCGAGAAATAACTTAACAAGAAAATTTAAATCCTATGAGCTCGATATTTAGCTCAACTTAATTCCAAAGGTTAGTGCATTGCCAAACTTGGCCTCAAACATTCCGAATACATAAAACAAGAATATGCCTTCTTCGTATATGCTGCCGGTGTAAAATAATTTATATTATCAGATTATCTAAAAAATAATTATATTGTTTACAATAAATAGAATTAGTAAAATAAAAGTAAATGAGATTATTAATTACAACAGGTTAAAATACACCGATGTATAAATTTGTTTTGCACTTTTTATGCATATAGATTAAATCCCTAGAACAAATAAAGAAATGATAAATCATCTTCACATTGAAGCAACATTGCTGTAGTTCGCTATTAAAAATTTCCTTTTCTTATTCTGATGCTCCTTTTCGATTTTTATGATTAACTTTTCGTTGTTATGATGAAACTTCTTAAAGAAGAGACCAAATAAAAAATCTAATTCTATATTTGGTGAACGTAGTTCGAACTAATCTTAAAAATAGAAAAAGTTACTAGTTTGAACTCTAGGATCAATAATTCACGAACGAAACTTTCTCACTTGATATTCCTTTAACTCTATAGTATCAGCTTTCTTTTATGTTGACATATACTCTGAGAAATTCGGGTTTCACCAAAACAAAAACAAAAAATGTTACCTTCAATATAATGCATATAATATTCTTCTCTTTTGTGAAACCTCAGATATGGCGTTGATCTTGATTATTTGGAAGGATACAACTTTGATCCGCCATTTTAGTTGTATACCCTTTATATAAATTTCACAGCTTAGACAAACATTTATTCTTTAGATTTTAGTAAAGAAAAGACGCTGGTAATTTATTTTTATTTGTCTAAACCTTGATAGTTCGCTAGATTTATCTGATATTTCTATTGGTGAAAAATAATAAGTATCCAATAAAATAATTGAGGTGCGGGTACATATTGTTCCGAGCACCACCATTTTAAACAAAAAATTAGACTGACCTTCATTCATTAACATAAATTAATAATCACAAAAAAGGAAACAACTAGAGGTGCAGTGGTGTATTTGTCCACCCAAGAACAATATTCTATCCCCCTATAAATTTCTTCTCTTCATTTATATTTATATATTTTTTCATGGGCAATTTTGTAAATTTTGGAAAAACATGACTTTGAAGTAACTTGACCAGATTGCTTTAGCTGAACTACCAAGAATGCAGTCCCACTTACTCCATATATCCCAATTGTTCATCATTTAACAAACCTTGAAAGTTCATTCTCACCAAACGCACTTATGCTAAACCCTCAAAAAAAATATTTTCATAACGTATTTTAGAGCATAATAAAAACCACAATGGAAGAACAAAATGTTTCCTACTCCTTCACCACAGTGAAGAACAAAATTAGTAACTTTTTCATGGCTAAAGCTCACCAGTTAATAGTTTCAGTTCCAGGAAATAATGGTACGGCCATTTGGGATATCAAATGCAGTTTCCATTCTCTCATTGTTCTTTTAATTGTTTCGCTCGTGGCCGGAGTTGTTTACTTGAGTGGAGAGAGTGGCCGGTTCTTGTTTGAATATAACAGTAATAGTAATAGCAGTAGTGACAATAATTTGGCTATGGGAAGTCATGAAAATGATGATTTGGTGTCATCTTCAGATAAGTGTAATTTGTTTTCTGGTAAGTGGGTTTTTGATAACAAGTCATATCCTCTATACAAGGAACAGGATTGTAAGTTCATGTCTGATCAGTTAGCTTGCCAGAAGTTTGGAAGAAAAGACTTGAACTACCAACATTGGAGGTGGCAACCTCATCACTGTGATATCCCAAGGTTTTTTATTTTTATTTTTTATACATTCTTCCTTTACTTTCTTTCTTAATTTCCTATCCACAGAAAATGAGACTTTTTCTCTCTGAGGCGGAGCTAGAATTTTAAATTTATCAGTTCTGAATTTTAGAGAATACCGCTTATTAGGTTCTGGACAAATATATATATGTGTGTGTGTGTGAGAGAGAGAGAGAGTTCCATAGAGTATAATAAGAGGATGGCCCGAGTAAAATTAGTTAACTATGAAGTAGAAATCATATAATGAACCCCCTACTAATTTAGATTGAAGCATAGCTAATAGATACTATGTTATGATACAGTATCTATTTTCGCATGCATAAAAAGAGTATATAAAGAGTTTATGTACGGTGACAAGTATAAAGAACTTTTACACTATTAATACTTTAGCATATTGTAGCAAGTAACCTGCCCTTTTTTCCAAATTACTTGATAGTATAATTTTGTTTACATTAATGTTAATATATAAAGTCGTTGTGAGTGGCATTACGATTTATGACTTATTAAAGACTTTTCTCAATGGAACGAGCTACACATGTCTTTTTTTTTTTTTCTGTTTAGTTTGGTCCTTTTTTTTTTTTTTGAAAAAATATATATGCAAGTGATCATGATATGCATTCTTTTTTCTTTGGTATTTTGGATATAGCTTTTTTGAGCTTTTGGTGGAATGTTTTTCGTCTTAAAAAAGGTTCAATGCCACAGCATTATTGGAGAAATTGAGGAATAAAAGGCTTGTGTTCGTGGGAGATTCATTGAACAGAGGCCAATGGGTTTCCATGGTTTGCTTGATAGATACAGCAGTTCAATCTTCTCTTAAATCCATGCACTACAGATACAACGCTTCCTTGATCATTTTCAAAGTTAAAGTAAGTGGGAAAAAAAAATCCATTCTTCTCCAATAATGAACTGCCAAAATTTGCAAGTTTCACATGTTATTTTCTCAATTTTATTTGGTTTCCCACCCGGTATTTGTAATCTGCATTGGGCCCTCGCTAATATAGATTTGCGCTGCATAAGGCCTCCTTAAAGGGAGAACTGCTCCTGGTTAGGATTTTTCGTAGAGTACCCTAGATATTTGGTTAAAGAGGGATAGATCCTATTCATCCCACCACAATATTTGAGATGTTGTTTGGTTTGGTTAATAACTCAAGAACTGCCAAAATTTGGAAGTTTCGATGTTGTTTTGTTAGGTTAATAATTCATCTTTTATGTATTTTGATAGATCAACAACATTCTTTTAGCGGTCAGAGTCAATATCAACGGACAAAGTTAAAATTTTATATGAAGGATAACAAAAGTTTTAGCGTTTACATAAAACACCTTAATGTTTACCCCAAGAAGAAAAGCTTAAAATTAATGCTTTGTTTGTCCTATTTTACATGTCATAAGCTTACTTTAATTGTGTGACCAACTCTTATGACCAAAATTTAACCTTAATTCTTCAAACTTCAGAAGTTCACACTTATCAAAAACAGATAGAAATCCGATCGAATGATTAAGTTTGATAATCAGATTTCATAGTTGACTGTGCAGTCAACTTAGTTCATGTTAATTTGAGATAGGAGTGTCTAATTGTTACTCATAATTTGTTTCTCATTAATTATACCTACTATGGTAAAAATTTGCCTTACTAAATCAAGAATGTGTTAGAGAGGGCCAATATGCACCTACCTGATATATGAATTTAAGTTGAGTTAAACTTGGATCTACACATTAATTTCTTAAGAAAAATTTACACCAAAATGATTGTCCATATAATTGGTCGGATAAGTACAAAAAAAAAAAAAAAAAAAAAAGAAAAGGCTACCATGTGCATTAAGCTCCCACTATGCATAGTGCCCGAGGAGAGCTAGACAAAAAACGCCGTCTGTGGGGATCGAACCCACGACCACGTGGTTAAAAGCCACGCGCTCTACCACTGAGCTAAGAAGGCTGGTTCTTTGATTAGATGAGTAACTGAAAATATAACACAAAGTAGTTTACTAGAACATGTAAAAAAGAAGTTTTTTATATATATATATATATATATATTAAGTTAAATATTTTAAATATTATATATGAAGGTGATCTATCAGATACTTACTAATCAAAAGCTAAAATCTTATCGGCGTTGCAAATGCAGGATTATAATGCGACAATAGAATTCTACTGGGAACCATTATTGGTGGAATCAAACTCAGATGACCCAGTACACCATCGTCTCCCTGAGAGAATTGTTAGAGCAAATGCCATTGAAAAGCATGGTAGCCGTTGGACCAATGCAGATTTTATTGTCTTCAACACTTACCTTTGGTGGAGACGCCCCCATATCAAAGTCTTGTGAGTAAATTTAAAATTTAACTTATTTAAACTGGCAGTCTAAATTTTTTTTATTATTAGTCTATCTATACCTGGTTATAGCATATGATCTTACGTATCTTATTTCCAAGGGTAGTCACTAGGCAACCATCAAAATAACTACTAAGTAGTAGTTATAATCATCATTATCATCTCAGGTGGGGTTCATTTGAGAGGTCTGATGGAATTTACAAGGAAGTAAAAATGTTACGAAGCTATGAAATGGCCTTGAAGACTTGGGCTGACTGGTTGGAAATCCATGTCAATCGCTCCAAAACCAAATTGTTCTTCATGAGCATGTCACCGGTTCATGAAAGGTAATCTCAAGACACTCTCACCCTTCAATTTATTTGCTTTTTATAACAGTAGTGTCTGAGTCAATTTTGCTTGCGCCCTTCAATTATTTTAAACTTTTTTCTTTACCTTTTCTCATATAATGAAAGTCAAATAGATCACAGCGTATATAGTTTTAAATTCAAGAATGTTTAAGTGAGACATTTTTGGTCCTCGTCAAATATGCTTCCTTATCAAAAGAGCTGATTTGACCAATCACCAATCTTATAAACTTACTAAAACATCCTCATAGACCAAAGGGTCGTTCATTCGCCCCAGTAACACTGAAATCCCAATTATTAGTATCAGGTGATATTTTAGGTGTCGCAAAACCAGAAATTTCATTAAGGGTGTTCAAAATTTAATACTATATATGTAAAAATATAATTTTTGACCTATATACACACTATATATGCATTTTTAGACAAAGAGTAATAAACTAACTACCCTTTACTGTATGTCACTCCGCCACTGATTGCAGGGCTGAAGAATGGGGCAAAGCAAAAGGTGAAAATTGTTACAGTGAAACAGAGCAAATACAAGAAGAAGGATACCAAGGAAATGGATCAGATCCAAACATGATGAAAATAGTGGAATCAACTATGCATGAACTTAAAAATAGAGGATTGGATGTCCACTTACTCAACATAACACAGTTATCAGAGTACAGAAAAGAAGGCCACCCTTCTATCTATAGGAAACAATGGGACTCTCTTACTGAAGAACAGATTGCAAATCCAAATAGTTATGCAGATTGTATACATTGGTGTCTTCCTGGAGTTCCTGATGTTTGGAATGAGCTTCTTTATGCTTCTATTTTTAATAATTACTGAGAGTTAAAGATATTGGGGAATTTGTAAAGTTTTTTCTTTTACCTTTTTACCAAAAGAATCAACAATGGTTTCTTTATTTAGCCCAAATGACTCTGGACCAAACGGTTGTAGGTGGGGCTGGTTTTTCTTTTTCTGTGTCCCTCTTTTTTTTTTTTAATTTTGTTTAAATCCAAAATTGTAAGTGGTCTATTTGGCAATTGTATATAAGTGACAAACTGACAATTGCTATAAGATTTTTCTCTTTCTTTAAGAAATCAACTTGTTTAATTTGAGAAAACGCAGCACCCTTCATTTATTTGGGTTTCGATTAGGATTTCATGGCCGACTCTTCAGTTATACTTCTTATTTACATTACAATTCTTTTCTTTTCTGTCGAAAGTTAATTTTTTCAAGATTTAGTGAATTTAGTTAAGAGAAAAATGATCTTTTTTCTAGTTTATTCAGAATTATCTATAGTTTCTAGTTAAGGGAAGCCAGATGAAGGCGACAGTAAATAGGCCAATATATTTTTGGTTTGGCAGGAAAACTCAATTTTGACTATTGCATGGGTTATGTGATACATTCAAGTCATAGTGGTTACAAAATCATTATTCCAAAAACTATATGATTGTGCAGAAAAGCCTTCCCAAAATGTTGCAAAAACAAACCTGCAAAAACATCACTGTTTCAACTTGGTGAAAAATAAGAGAAACACCACAGCTTCAACATTTGAGTTCTACTGACATAATCAGGGATATTGTAAACAGTGCGTTGATGACATAATGTTTTGGATGGATACATGCAAAGACCATAAAAGGAAAAGTTCTGTTTATAAAGGATGCAGCAATAATAATACGGACCGAGATGTCTCGTGTTAGAGTTGAATAACAGGATTTTCTGAATGTTTTATATATAAATGTCATTAGAAGATAGAAGGATGATAAATACACAATAAGTTGCTTCCAGAAAATAAGAGGTAGTATCTCTAAAATGGCGATTCTCTCTCTCGGTGCATGTTAACTAACTTGCGCCTACCATGGGTAAGAGAGCACGTATCCCGTCTCAGAGAGCATTAATGGCGAAGGAAGCAGCGGAATTACGTAGCAACAATCAATGAGGAACTAAAGGAAGTGTAACAACAACTGAAAATTCTGGAGATGGACAATTGAGCCCTAATGTCAATGGAACAGTAACAAAAATGCCTAGAAATGAGAAGCAGAAGGAAGTTGAAGCAGTTCAAGTATGGGAAGAAGTTCAGAAAGCATCAACAAGCAGTAATCCAACGGTGCATGCGAGTGATGGAAGGAAATCATGGGCCGATAAGGTAGATGAGATGAACAAAGTACAGGGGAAGAAGAGTTCAGTGTGGGATAACTTTGATATTACAAAAATATCAAATGCTGGGTACAAATTGGAGTATGTCCAACCGAAATCGACAGGTGAGATTCATTTTGTTGAAATGGAGTTGGATGATATAAGTACAGAAGTTGAGTACTGGAGAAATGCTATGATATGTTATGTGCTTGGGGCTCATCCACCATTTGCAGTAATTCAAGGATATATACAGAGGTTGTGGGGGAAACATGGGGTTGACAGGATTGCAATGCTAAAAAATGGTGTAATTGTTGTTAGAATTGATACTGCAATAGGGAAACAAGAGGTAATTGAGGGTAGCATATATCACTTTAATAATAAGCCTCTTATTGTCAAAGCTTGGACACCTGAGTTGGAATTCACTAGGGAGGAACTCTTGACAGTACCAATTTAGATTAAATTACCAGATTTGGACTTCAAGTATTGGAGTCAAAAAGGGCTAAGTAAGATAGGAAGTTTGATTGGGAAACCTCTAATGGTGGACCAGAACACAAAGAAGAGGATCGGATTGAAGTTTGCAAGGCTGTTGGTGGAGGTTGAAATGAATACTAAACTACCTGATGTGGTGAAGTTTAGGAATGAAAAAGACAAAATAATAGAGCAAGAGGTTAGTTATGATTGGAAACCATCTTTGTGCAATCATTGTTTTAAGTATGGGCATGAAGAAGATGTGTGTAGAATTAAGAAGAAATTTCAAAAGATTGAACAGATGCATAAAGAGAAGTTGGCAGATACACAGGTGGAGAAGCAAGGTCAAGGGCAAAATGAGAACAATGCAAACTTGGAAGTTCAGAAAGCAAATAGAACTGAGAAGATATATGATGCAGGGAAAGGAGCAGTAGGGAGAACAGAACAATATGTAGTTAAGAATCATGGGGCGCTAAAGGAAAGAAATGGAGAACAAGACTGGCAAACACCTAATAAATATGGTAAGACTATGGTGAGGCAGATGGAACAAGTGAGAAGTCCAACTCATTTCAGATACTCAACAAGCAAGAGGAACTTAATTTGATCAAAGAAGGGGGGGGGGGGGGGGAGGAAGGAAGTAGTGTGGGTGGTCTAAGTATTCCTCACAATGGGGATGGTTAGTCTAGTAAGCTGGAATATAAGGGGGCTTAATGCTCCTAATAAGCAAAAGGAGATTAAGCTCCTATGCAATAAGGAGAGAGTAGGTTTGATAGGCTTACTAGAAACAAAAATAAAAAAAGAGAGAATGGAGAAGGTAGCAGAAACGATGTTTGCAGGATGAAAATATGTAACAAACCTTGAATGTTACTATAATGGTAGAATCTGGATCACCTGGAGGCCAGATTACTACCAGTTAAATCCTAAGGAAAAAACTGCTCAATTAATAACATGTGAAGTTCTGTATGTACCACTAAAGCTAGCTTTTGAGGTAACATATGTTTATGCTTTTAATACAAAGGAGGAGAGAAGGGGGGCTGTGGGAAGATTTAATCAATCATAGTAGAGGATGTAGCAAACCATGGATGGTAATAGGTGATTTCAATGCAGTGTTGAATGTAGATGACAGAATAGGTGGAAAGGAAGTGACATGGGTTGAAGTGGTGGATTTTTATAACTATGTAATGGAGTGTGGATTAATGGAATTGCCAGCACAAGGGAATAGGTATACCTGGAGTGATAAACATGAGGAGCATAGAATATTCTCAAAAATTGATTGGATTTTTATCAATGATCAATGGCTTACTACTATAACAGAGTGTACTGCCAGATTCCTAACTGAAGGGATTAGTGATTAATGTCCTGCTAAGGTGACATTTGTAGAAGAGAGGCAAAGAATCAGAAGGTCTTTTCAGTTTTGCAATATTTGGACAGAGCATCCACAATTCATGAGGATAGTCAAAGAAGGTTGGCAAATTAATTTGGAAGGGTACAAAATGTTCAAGGTTGTTAAAAGGCTGAAGCTGTTAAAGAAGGGACTGAAAGCATTAAATACACAAGCTTTTAATAACATAGTGACAGAAACAAATAAAGACAGGACTAATCTAAAGAAGGCTCAGGAGCAATTGCAGAGAAGACCCTTAAATATGGAGTATCAACAAGCTGAAGTTAAAGCATATCAAAAGTTTAGGAAGTCATCCTACTTAGCTGAAGTATATTTACAACAAAGGAGCAAAGCAACATGGATAAGATTGGGAGATGATAATACCAAATACTTTCACTCAGTAATCAAGCACAGAAAACTGAAGCAGGCAGTTACTCAGATAAAAGACAGCTCTGGTAATTGACTAACAGATCCAGATAGAATTGCATATACCTCTGTTGAGTACTATGAGAATTTACTAGGGAGGACAACAAATGATAGAGTGAAGACCTTCAGTAGTATAATCAGAAAAGGAAGCAGATTATCAGAACCACAGCAAGATAAATTAATGCAACCTTTCTTGGGAAGGGAAGTGAAGCAAGCTATGTTCCAGATAGACAGCAATAAGAGTCCTGGTCCAAATGGATTTGGGAGTGATTTTTATAAAGCAACAAGGCCAATAGTGGGAGGAGATATTACTGAAGCAAAATTGGAGTTCTTTCAGAATGGAAGATTGCTTAGACAGATAAACACCACTAACATTGCTTTGATACCTAATGTGGAGGCTCCTGAAACTGCAAGCCAATATAGACCTATTTCATGTTGCAATGTGTTATATAAATATATATCAAAGATGATATGTTCCAGATTAAAGCCAGCAATCAGCTATATAGTAGCAGACAACCAATTAACATTTGTACAAGGAAGGTCTATGATGCATAATGTATTAATATGCCATGATCTACTTAGACATTATAATAGGAGGACTACTCCTAGATGCTTAATGAAGATTGATCTAAGAAAGGCATATGGCATGGTGAGCTGGGAGTTTCTAGAGGAAGTTTTAAGAGGATATGGTTTTCCTGACAAATTTATATAGTGGATCATGATATGTGTTTCTACTGCAAAGTTCACAGTTAAAGTTAATGGAGAAGGGCATGGATATTTTGCTGGTAAGAGAGGACCGAGGCAAGGTGATCCTATGTCACCATTGCTGTTTGTTTTGGTCATGGAGTATTTGTCCAGAACATTGAGTATAATCAGCAGGTTACCAGACTTCAGATTTCATCCAATGTACAAAGAGATCAAGCTGACTCATCTTATTTTTGCTGATGATCCGATGATATTTTGTAAAGGCAATACCAGTTATGTGAATAGAGTGATGGAAGCCCTTGATCACTTCAGTAAAGTTTCAGGATTGATTGCCAACATGGAGAAGTCAAACATCTTTGTAGCTGGGGTTGGAGATGATATCAAAAAGCACAACTGCTGAATAGAACAAAGTTCATTGAAGGAGTTTTTCCTATCAAATATTTGGGACTACCTCTATCCCCTAGGAGATGGAATAAGATGGACTGCCAAATGCTGATTGGGAAGATCACACACAGAATTAATGTCACATATTCTAAACAATTGTCATATGCAGGAAGGCTTCAAGTAGTAAATGTTGTCTTATTCTCTATCCATAGCTTCTGGGGGAATGTTTTTATCCTCCCTCAAATTGTGGTGAAAGGAGTAGACAGGTTATGCAGAGAGTATTTGTGGGGCAAAAAGGAAGAGATGAGGAAGGTTGCCTTGGTTGCATGGGATAAAGTCTGCTGTCCTAAAAATATGGGAGGTCTAAACATCAAGGGATGTAAGGAATGTAATATAGCTTCAGTTGGGAAGCTTGTATGGTAGTTAATATTGAACAAGGAGTCACTTTGGGTAAGGTGGGTTCATGGGGTTTATATGAAGTCAAATCATGATATATGGACTCGTTCACCACCTTCAGATAGCAGCTGGTATTAGAGGAAGCTAAACTCAGTAAAAGAAGGGATGAGGGAGTGGTATTCACAGGACAGATACATTCTAAATCCTGCAGGGAAGTACTCTATTAATCACAGCTATCTTGCAATAATTAGTCGACAACAGAAGCTGGAAGTTGCAGATTTAGTATGGACAGCAGTAGCTCAACCTAAGCACAAATTCATAGGTTGGCTAGCAACACTTGGGAAATTGCTGACAAAGGATAGGATGATTGGGATGCAAATACAGGTTGAAAATGTTCACTGCATTTTGTGTAATGAGGATGCATTGGAATCTCAGGATCATTTGTTTGCTAAATGTGGATGGATAACAGCAGTAAGGCAAGAGTTGAATATATGGATAGGGCAAGAAGTACAGTATACAGGAGTTAAGCAAATGTTGGAGCAGATTAAAAGGAAGCATTGGAAACAGTTCAAAAAAGAAGTGATTGCTGCAGTGCACTTAGCGATGATATACTATACATGGAGAGCAAGAAATACAAAAAAATTTCAAGGAAGATATGTAAATACTGAAGAGGCAGTTATAAAAATTAAGAGAGAAGTGATAGAAAGGATAGAATTACTTCAACAGTCTAAGAAAGCGCAGAAATGTAGGAGTTTTATTAGACAGATTACTTGTAATTAGGTTCTTTTTCTGTTTGTTGGAGGCTTAATATTCTGAGATCAGATAATTAGGTGCTCTATAAGTGTAATTGTTTGCTGATGTTAATGGTAATTTCACATTGTTACCAAAAAAAAAAAAAAATAAGAGGTCCTATATTGGTTGCTATGAGGGAAGTCATATACTGTAAGTAGTTTACAACTTCTGCATACTGCTGCCCCGCAAAAACAACCACTGCAGCAATATCAAACTCCCTGAGTGAACCCAAGCAACAAAACAAGTGAACAGAGAGTTCAGGCGCACAAGTATTGACTCCATATATTACCCCAAAGACTAACCTGGATATAGGAACTTCGTGCAATTTGCACAATGAATTGATTGGCGAGGACGAAAAGGGCCTGCAGGAGCAGGTATCAGATGCATAAATTTGTGCAGTAAAAGCATGATAGCAGCAGATACTTATTCGAAACACTCAACCGCTACAGGAGACGAAGACAACATTTGGCTGTGGACCCTTTTGCTTGCAAGTAAAGGGTGCTCGACTCTGAGCTTATTGGTGTAATCCCTGTAACAGCAAAAGCCTGACCCTCTGCAACCTTGTATTGCTATGTAATACATCAGTTAGAGATGGAACTGGTACAGAATGGAGAAATATATTGGCTAGATGACAGGATATAAGGTTTTATTTTTATTTTTTTTAAAAAGTATTCCACTTTCGATACATGTTTCTCAGTTGGATTCTGTGTTGTAATTAAGCCTTCCTGTGTGCAGCAGTTCAATGGGGTACTTTTTCTAGTCAATCCAACAACTCTAACTCGCATAAAAGGACTAACGTCTCTTTCAGCAAGTCCAGCAGCTTGCAAAGCTTTTATCAAGAGATTTCTACAGGTCGGATTGCCTCGATGCCTGAAAATGATGGAATCATGACTGAACTACTTCTAGCAAAATCAAGTGGAAAAGAACATACATTCAACTTTGCTCGATAGGATCCAGATGAATTCAACTGCTCTGAAGTCATCTCTGCCATCAGAAGTTCTGGTTCTCCAGCTCTTTCGAGTATCTTCAAACATTTTGCCTCTTCCACACTTCCCGTCCACCACTCTATAGCGTCTAGCTTGACTACTCAAAAATATAGGTCTTATTAGTAGAGACCACAGATGTTCATAGACAATTCCAATCAAATAGTATTGAAACAGCAAGGCATGAAAATTGAAGTTGTATTGGAAAATACATCAAATCCAAGAGACAGGCATGCTGTAACAGAAAGGTGCTCCATCCTAGAACGTCAGTTGCTTAATATATATGAAGCAAAAAGTGTGACAGGGAAAACTATGACATAAAACTCACGAGCTTGATTATTGTTACAGAAACTCATTAAGCTTTATAAAGACATTTCTCAATCATAATTTGGAAAATTGGCAAGTATTTGCTGTATCTTTTGGAGAAGGAAAGACCAGCACCAGCTTTTCATAAGTAGAGCTAGATCAAACTTTTTAGTATGAGCGAACTTTACATTTGGACTTTTTGTTTGGTGTCACTTCTTATCATTCTTTATATTCAACCCACAAGACCAACAACTAGAACCAGACACACCTGCTAAATCCACTATTATCAACCAACACTCATTACCACCTAGTCATTGCACAAGCCATATACATATATACAAATAAACATATTTATGTTTTATGCATAATTTATTTAAAAAGCATCATTGTTCCCAATCTATTAGATTTTGCAGGTATTGAGGTTTTGACTGCATTTAACAAAGTGATACTAGCCTGGAGGAGGATGCTATGCAATTTTTGACGAATCCAGACAATTCAAGCACATAGGTCTCAGTCAAGAATTATCCAAGCTTAACCACCACGTGGCATGCACACAAGGAAGGGAGAGAATTTGCCTAATGAGAAAAGAGAAACTATCAGCACTGACCATTTAACCTCATTTTCATGCCTCATACTGATTCTAGGATTCAACATGATCAGAATGGTTGAGTCACTCAATTCCTAAAGCAAAGGTCAAACATTTTGATCGGTAAAATATATTCAAGTAAAGGTTTTTAGGTGTTTGATGCAATTTGTGGCTGCTGTATTGTTGTTACCAAAATAATGGTCAAATTAGTTGGTGAGCATTACTCAGCTCCATTGATGATCCTCATTCAAGAGCTAATCTGCTATCCCGTTCTTATAGCTATTGATAATACAATAGATAGATACAGATATGTGATCCTGTTGGGCTTAAACGGCCCAATGACACTCTTAACATGGTGTGATATAGTCCGCTTTGGGCCAAGCCCGCACGGTTTTTCCCAAAAGGCCTCACACCATTAAGAGATCCCTACACCTTATATGTAGACTCCCAATCTTTTCAGCTACCAATGTGGGACTTTGTTCGCACACCCAACAATCTCCCCCTCGAACTAAGTTCCACGTGGTCCACTACCACGATCCACGGGTCAATTTTCGAGATTCACTGTGTGCCACCCACATTGTTAGAGTATTATGGTAACCGAAGCCCGCAACTAGCTTCTTCTTGTGTGTGCACCGCCCTGCACCATCACTCCGCCATCTCCATACTCGTTCCGCTGAACCTGGGCTCTGATACCAGTTGTTGGGCTTAAACAGCCCAATGACACTCTTAACATGGTGTGATATTGTCCGCTTTGGGCCAAGCCCGCACGGTTTTTCCCAAAAGGCCTCACACCATTAAGAGATTCCTACACCTTATATGTAGACACACATATAGTAGCAGGACGTGTAAGGATTGCATTACAGATAAACCAAGTGTGAGTGGAGTACGCAGGATTTTTGGTAAGCGGTATCAAAATTTAAAAAAATAAATGAATAAATAAATCACTGTAATGAAAAGCGGTGTCATTTTTATATTTACCAAACTTCATCTTTTATACTATATATATACACACATATATAGATATTTGATAAAAATTCTGACGAAGCAGTGTCACGTGACACCGCTTGCCGCAAGGTGTATCCGCCCCTGAGTGTGACGCTTTTATATATGTTGCAGGCTTGCAGCTAAAGAAATTATATTTATTGAGTAAATCAAATCTGGACCTAAAAGTGATCATGCGAACAAACTAGCATCAGATGCACAATGGTCCAAGATGGAGTTAGGGCACAATTTTTTGTGTATCACGGGATTCAGATTTATGCTGATCACACAAATTGGAGGATACAAAGGCCAGAACGTGGAGTTTATTAGGAGAAGATATTCAAGTAAGCATGTGATAGTAGCAAATGGTGATGGAGGACAAATACACATTTTGGGCATACATATTGGACGTTTTTATTAATGATGCAAGTCAAATCGACTATCTGAAATAAGGGATGAAGATACAAGTGGGAACCCGAACCTATTAAACTGTTCGAAAACTGACTAGTATTTGCTTATTGCAAGAAGGCGGCCCAGCGAGCCAAACTCATGTTAGTTTTTCTCATCCAGAGTGAGGCAACGATTGGCTGCATCACTGAAGCTTCTTTTCTTCCTATAATTGGAAGATTCTTTAATTGGTAGAAACTATCACAAAGAATTTATGCTATTCCAGATATGAAGCCATAATGCAGATATCAAGAAAAAGATAGAGAGAAGTCTTTTAGCAAATAGTGCTGCATTTGGTATTACTTTTGATTAAGGGCTGCATCTCTTCAGATTCCATTCGTTTATATCTTGCCATAGATTGCCATCAGAATCAAAACTAAGTTTCTTGTCCTAACAATTTTCAGTTACCTTTCCATGTAGAAAACAGGATGTATCCTTAAAATTCCAACCAATGTAATTCAAACAGCACCTCCACCATCCTTGATTGACATAAATGATAAAGGAATACCACCATCTTTACCTGAC